GGAAAATATTTTCTCATACATGAAAATTCTATGAAATTCAAATTTTAGTTTCTATGATGGTTTTACTGGAACACAGCCACACTCATTTAAGTGCTGTCTCCAACTGCTTTCATGCTATGTCAGCAGAGTTTAGTAGTCACAAAAGAGAACATAAGGTCCTCAAAGACTCAAATATTTACTCTCTGTCTCTCCACAGAGTTTGCTGAACCTTGCTCTTGATGCTTGCTCTCCGAGTTCTGCCTCCGCTGGTCTTACTGCTCCCCGGGGTTCTCACCGCTGGGACCTAGTGGCTGACCAGAGAAAAGAACCTACAAAGAACAATTTCATTTTTTTCTGTATCTTCCTCTTTGATATTAGGGCTATAATAAGTTGGGGTCATATGTGAAGTGAATGCAGTACTGTACTAAGAAAAAAGGAAAGGGAGGAAAGAAGGAGAGAGAGAGAGGAAAGGGAAGGGAACAGGAAGGAAGGAGGGAGGTTCAGTCAGTCCAGAGTAGAAAGGAAGAAATAGGGATTTTTTAAGTGTAACTCCTAAGAAAGAGAGTAATAGAATATTCTAAATTTAGATATTCTTAGAATGCATGCTTCAATTTTGGTAATGTTTTTAAAGACAGCACAGTTAGCTTTACTATTTATGAAGGAGACATAAGGATGTGAATTCATAAATAGATAAAATTAACTAGTGCTTTTCTAAAGTGAGGTCAAATACTTATCTAAATTTAACATCTTTTTCCCATTTACACAGGAAGATTTATACAGTTCTTGTGGAATAAAAGGATCAAACTTAAGTCTAAACTTTGATTTGATTTGATTTTCATGTTTTTGCAGTACTAGAGATCAAACCCAGGGCTTGTGCTTGCCAAGCAAGCACCCTACCCCTGAGCTATAGCCCTAGCCCTAAGTGATTCTTACACACATTGGTATCTCAGAAAAATGCATACATGGCCAATGACATCATCTTTTGATTCTACCAATAACCTACAATGTGTGTTATAACAAAATCTGCCTTACAGCTGCACACCTCAGCAGCACCCCCTCACTTCCTGCAGGTCAATGCTAGAGATTTCTCCAGTGCAAAGGGTGACAGTTGATTCAGTCAATGCAGAACAGTCCTGCCTTTGATGAAGTTCGATTTTCAGTAGGCTAGTTGATGTCCTGTCTATCTATTGGCAAAGCAAACTTTCTTGTGCTTTATACCTTTTAAAGTAAGAAGATCTACTGGAAAAAAATATTAATTTACAAAGCACTTTCACTTTCATTCTAACATATCACCTTCAGAGCAAACCACAGGAAAAAAGCAAAGCTCAGCGAATTGCCCAAAATTGCACACCTAATAAGTAATGAAGCCAAGACTTACATCCACATCTGGCCTTAAGTTCAGGGCACCTTCCTGAATAATTGTAGTGTTTAAAACCACAGTCTGGAGGCATAGAGAGGGCTTTGACCCTGCCAGAGTGAACTTGGGTAAATTACTTACTCTCCAATCCCATGTGCAGACAAGAGAATATAATGAAAACTAACATACTGGTTTTAGTCAAGTGACAAGACCAGAACACGTGCAAAGTGCTCAGCAAGCTGCCTGGCATCAGGCTCCCTTCATGTTCACTATCATTTGCAGTGCCGAAAGGATGAACATCTGGTCCGACATGAGGAGGATGCCAAGGGAAAGGCTGATATAAGAGAATTTCCAAAGGTCACCCAGGCCTGGGTGATGCACTCACCATCTGAGATGGATGGAAATAAGTCAGAGAAGATGAAGAGCATGAGACTCGGAGGGTAGTTCTACCATTGATGGTGGAGACTTGGAGGTGAGCAAGTGGAATGAGTGGGAGGTGTCCTAAGCATAGGGAATAATGGGAGCTGAGAACCAAGCTCAAAAGGAGGCAATTATTCACCATAGAGATTGTCATTCCCAGAGAGATAGTCATTGATGTTTCTACCTCTCATTTTAGGGTTACTGGGGGAAAAGGACACGAGGCTGAAGGACTGGACTTTGGTATTAGTTCCCACTTAGAGTGCAACAGGAAGCAGATAGGTATGTGATGACCAAGTAAGTTCTGTTGAGCCGGGAACAAAATGCATATCCCAGAAACAAGTGGGGAGACTTGAAGAAGACTATGATTGGGAATGGTCTGAGTGTGTCCCCCAAGAATTCATGTGTGGGAAGCTTGGTGCCCAGTGTGGCCATACTAAGAGGTCGTTGGACCTTTAAGAGGTGGGACTTAGTGGAAGTTGGATAGGTCACTGGGGGGCATTGCCCTTAGAAGGGATTAAGGTCAATTAACTCATGAGATCCTGAGTTAGTTCTCACAACAGTGGGTTGGTTATTACAGAAGAGCAGGCCTTGAATCCTTCTCTGGCTTCCTGACTTACCATGTGATCTCTCCCTCTTGCATATGCTCCCACCATGATTCCATCTGCCATTAGGCCCTCACCAGAGGTCAAATTAATGGGATACCTGATCTTTCAGCCTCCAAAATGCTGAGCTAAATAAATATTTTTAAAATTTCTTCTATCGATATGTAAATATAAGGGGTAAACCTTTCTTTAAATAAACTATCCAGCTTCAGGTATCTCATTATGGCAATGGAAACAGATTATAATACAAGGGAACCCCATTAACTCAGACTCACTGGTCAATGAGAATGAAGTAGTCATGGGTTTCACAGAATGAAGGTTGTATCATGGAAGTTCTTCCATTTCTATCATTACTACAGTTGCATACAATAAGAAGCCTAAAGAGGTTGTCATTGTGAAGGAGACCATATCATACTAACTATGGATAGATAATGCATTGCCAGAGGTCTAGGCCAAGTTTAATTGGCAAAATGTGTTGCTAGTTATTAAAAGTTCCCAGAGATGTTGAAGACTGAATAGGCTTCCAATGGGTAGAGAGGAGAGGGCATTCCAGGTAAAGGGGACCATATATGCAGAGGCTGGGGAACGTGACAGCACAACAAATTCCGAGACAGAGGAGTGCCACAAAATACAAAACATGTGGCGGCTGGGGCTGTAGCTTAGTGGCAGAGCACTGGCCTAGCATAAAAATAAACAAATAAAAATAAACACCACATAAAAATAAACAAATAAAATAAAGTCATTCTGTCCACCTACAACTACAAAAAAAATTTTAAATAAAAATATATACATTTGTGGGGCCAGTGAGAATAAAGTAGAAAAGCGGGTTGAAGCAAGATTAAGAAAGGTCATAGATACCATGCTGAAGAGTTCTTAACTAATTTTTCTTTATAAACTATCCAGCCTCAGGTATCAGGAAACAGTTATCGAAAACTTTTGAAAATGGGTGAGACATGGTTAAATCTATGCTTTAGAATATCAGGATGGGGGCTGCAGTTGTGGCTCAGCAGTAGAATGCTCGCCTAGCCTGTGCAGGGCTCTGAGTTCGATCCTCAACACCACATAAAAAATAAAAAAATAAAGGTATTGTGTCCAACTACAACTAAAAAATAAACATTAAAAAAATAAAAGAATATCAGGATGTAGTGCTGGGGCATCAGGATAGGTCAGGAGACCTCTGTAGCAGCCCAGAAAAATGACTGTACAGGTCTGAACAGGGTGGTGATCTGAGTGAGAGGGAGAGAGAATAGGGAAAAGGAAATTCCCCTGAGTCAAGGCCTAACAAGGAGTGGTGAAGGGTACACTGAGGGATTTGAGACTGGGCATTGGGATCAGGTAGCACCATCCAGAGACCTAAGAAAGACTGAAGGTGTCTCAGGTGCCAGTGAGAGAGAGAGAGCTCTAGGGAAGGATCAAAGAAGAAAGGGAGGGATCAAAGATGACTAATTCATAGCCTGGGTACCTACATGGCTATTGATGTCATCATCCAAAATAGAGGGATGCACATTTGCTATGAGAAGTGTTTTAGATATGGTAGGATGAAGCTTCTAAAAGCCAAAGTTTTAAAATCAAATTTATCAAGGTGCAATTTACATAAAATAAAATGCACCTATTTGATGTGTATAGTTCAATGAATCTGACAAATGTAAATACCTGTGCAAGCAGCTTCATGGGTATATGAAACCTAAGTATTCACACTAGGTCCTATTTTCAGAAGGGCCTTTTGCTTTGGGTTTAAAACTGAATTCATGGTGCCAAAGCTTTCTTTGAACTTGGGTTTTATAAATGCAATCTGATGGGACAATGAAGCATTTGAGGGGAGGGGTTTAGAGCCTTAGCTTTTGCTGAGTCTCTTTCTTATCACCCTCCCCATGACCCCCAATCTTTACCCTATCCCACCCCCACTTCAGGGCAGGGCAGGGCTGCACCCCAGCACATTCAGAGACTGATGAACATCTTCCCTAACATGATCCTGGTACCAAACACATCCTGACACACACACTTCAATCCCTTAGGGCTCATCCATCCGTCATGCCCTAGGAAGGGGAGTGTTCCAGTACATAAGGAAACATAACATTAAAGAGCAAATTAAACCAGCGTGATAAGTTGATAGAGAACACAGAAAAAAAAAAAGAGTTTTATAATTAAGTACCTTTAGTAGTGTCCTTTCCTGCTTCCCTCCATTTTTATTTTGCACTGAACCTTGCAAGAAGAATATTTTCGTCTCGCTCCTTTACGGAGTCAACACACCATAGTGGCAAAACCCAACCACAAGTCTCCTTTCAAGACGGCTGAATTTAAAAATTTGCAGCAGGGCTCTGGAACTAGGGAAAGCAGGAATACAAGAATTCTGCTCCCCCTTTTCTCTTGGGGCCTGTACCGGACTCTTAGAAACATTTCCTCCACGTTGTTCTCACTTCTACCCTCAAAGTCCTTATTCTGATTTTCCAAAAGAGGTCACCACGTTTCTCCAAGGTAAGCCCAGAGAGCGTCGGAACTCTCACTCACCCTAGTCGGTCCACTCCAAGGCTAGTACCGCCCACGCCCGAACACCGCCCGCGGCCCGCCCCTTCGCCAAGTGCCCAGCCGGGTCTCACAGCCCCAACCCAGACGCCCCAGAACCAAGCAGGTGTCCTGGACGTTCGTGGCCAACGTCGCCATCGTTGGAGGTGATGGCTCAGCCAGCACGGCGCGGTCATCCGGAAAAAGAAAAAGCTCCAGGGCCGGCGAGCGCCAGCGCGCATCCCAGACCAGCCAGGGTGGGCTCCACCGCGGCGCTCCGGGCCCGGGTGCCTTGGCAACAGGTAAACACTGAGCGGCCCCGCCCCGCGGCGCGCGCTGGTGGCGTTGTGCGCTTGAATCCCGCCCCCGAGGGGCGCGAGCACCGCGCAGGGATCCTGCCGCCTCGGTGTAACGCGAGTGGGTGCCCGGCGTGGCCAAGTAGGCGCCTGGTGTGCTGGCGGCTAGGTGGCTAGCTGTCCCCTGAGCACGCTGGGCTGCCCCGAGTCCCCGCGCGCCGCCGGGCGGGTTCCTTCCTGGGAGGCGCCGCCGAGGCCCGAGAGGGCGGCGGTTCGCTGGCGAGTGGGCAGGAGGAGGCGGGGTAGACGAAGAATTTGGGCTGCCATCTGCTTTTCGGGATTGGGAATCACACGTCTTACTCACCCGCTCAGCTGAGAAAGAAATGACCATGGTAATACCCGTCTTGTGGAAGTAGGAGAGATTCCTAGGCACTCGCTCTTTTGCTTTAAGCCCGCCAGCGTTTGAGAGGAGTGCTTTCGCCGAGATCATCTCCAGTCCTGGTGGGTGGGTGGTGTCTAACCCAGCGGTCTGAACTGGCGATGTAAGATGAGTGGGAGAGTGATCCCGGGTGGTCTGAGCCTGCTAAGGGGGACGGCAGCAGCAAAATCAGGCTGAGATCTTCTTCTGTTAAGTGTCTGGTTGCCGTTCCTTGGTTCTGTTGCAGAATTGTCACACCCAGAAGATGTTTTTTTTTTGGGGGGGGGGGGGAAGAGGGAGATCGGCAAAGTTGTATGGAACCCAAGAACGCCAGTACATGCCAACAGCTACTGGCTCAGGCACTTGGCTGCTGCTTCCGCTCCAGAGTCCATTGTGGGATGCGCTGTTGACTCAAGTAGAAGGCGAGCCCTGGTCCCACTACCACACTGCCAGCCGTCACAAGCATTCCTGCTCCTTGGTCCTCCTTAACCCTCACTGTTCTTTCTATAACGTCTGTGACCTTATAACCCCCATCCCATGTCCTCTGCTTAAGCAAAACAAAACAAAACCCCCATCCCACAGTAGACCCACGTGCTTCTGAAAGTCTCCTGAACCAGACTCACCTCAAGCTATTGCTCTTTCAATTTTTTTTTTTATAAGACCCAGCCCAAAGTGCCTCCTTATGTACCTGTAGCCCTTTGCACCTCACTTAAGGTGCTTTGCCTGTTTTGCCTTGGAAAGTCTTACTCCTTATCCCCATTAGATTGTAGTGAAAAAATATGTTTGGTAAGCCTCTGTGGGTCTTCCAGTTCCTTGAGTGAAAGGCACTAGGTAAATATCTCTTGATTTAGGAGAGTCGTTCCTGAGTTACCCGCACATGTTTAATACTGCCATTTTCTTCTGGGGCCCAGGGAACTGAAGCAGAATGGTTTACACAGCCATTTAAGCTAATAACTTCCTTTGGCCCTTGGAATCAAGGTCAAACAAATTAGTTGACAGAGCCTTCAGCCAAAGCTATGCCCTACCTACCTTTCTAGACTCATCTGGTCCCCCAGGTTGCCTGTAGACTGGCCACATTAATTGTTTGGTTTTTTGGGCCCTTCAACTCTGCATATTTTCTACTACCTCGGAGCCTTTACCATAGTTATTCCTTTTTACTGTTCATTAGTGCTCCATTGTATGGTTGTACCACAATTTATTTATCCATTTATCTGCTGATGGACATGTGGGGTGTTTTCCAGATTTTTGCTGTTACAAGTCTTTAAATTGAAAATACTTTCATTTTCTTGGATAAATACCTTAGGAAATGGCTGGGTTATATGGTAGGAATGTGTTTAACTTAAAAAGAAAAAATTTAATTTTTTGTGAAAATTTATAATTATATACAAAAATAGAATAGTAAAATGAATCCCCATGTATCCATTTCTCAGATTCAGAAATTTTAAATATTTGGCCACATTTACTTCATCTATCCCTTATTGGAGAGTAGGGCAAATCTCAGGTCTTCTTTGATTTCATCCTTGCAGATTTCAGTGTGCATCTCTGAGACATGTGTTTTCTTTTGTAACCCAATGCCATTATCAACTCTAACAGAATTCATTATCCTCTGATACTATCAAATTTTTCTTATTTCCTAAAAAAAAAATGCCTTTTTGCAGCTGTTCAAATCAGAAGGCAAACAAGGGTCACACATTGTGTTGGGTCTCTTTTAATAGGGGGTGCTTACTAAATATTTGTCACATTAGCTGGCATGTGACATCTCCCATTCCATGAAAATTTTCTGTTGTTTGGATTTTTTTTTCCTTAAATTCAACAAAGGAACACTCCTTTGTTTCAACACTGAAAGTCATCTCAAGTTTGTAGACACTAACTGCCACACTCTATTTGTCCTGTCTTCAAAAGCCAGGTAAAGGGAAGAAAGGGAAAAGCCACAGAAAGTCTCATGGGAAGAAGCAGAAGAAGCCCGAGGTGGACATCCTCAGCCCCGCGGCCATGCTGAACCTCTACTACATTGCCCACAACGTGACCGACTGCCTACAGCTGCGAGGCTTCCGCTGGCCAGGGGCTCCCAAAGGGAAAAAAGGGAAGAACAAGACTTAAGTGATAGAGTTCTCAGCGCTCAGAGAACAACTTGGGGAAGAGAAATCAAATAATGCGACCCTACAGGCAAAATAGACTTTACTGAAGACACCTTGAAATGCAAGCTCAGGGTGCTTTCTATGGTAAATAATGGTGAAGAAATGCCTTTTACTTCCTCAGTTAAGCTAGGCATGATTAGCCACTTTGGATTTTCAGAAGTTAAGGGGAAAAACTTGAACAATTCTTACACCATGTGATGGGATTGATAGTCCTTTAAAAATTTATTATCATAATTCTGGGCCAGAAATTAAACCTTGCTCTCAAAAGGCAGTTCCAGTTTGCACGAGTTATTTTCTTTTGCTAAAGGGGGTCTGTTATTTAGAGAAGATATGGCAAAAAAAGCACAGGCTTTACATTACAATCACCCCTTTCTTGGACACTATTTCTTTTTTCTTTATTTTTTTTTTTTAGTGGTGCTAAGAATGAACACATGCTAGGCAAGTCTCTACCACTGAGCTTCATCCACAGTCCTCCCCGGCACCCCCCCCACACACCTTTTTTTTTTTTGAAAATAAATATTTTATTTCTGTAATTTTTTTCTCAGTAGTCTGATTCTGGTTTGAATTAGCCACAGGGCCAAATGGATATTAAGATTGTCACTAGTGCTCTGACCTTACTGGGCATGTAAGCTTGTGATGAAAAGGATCTGACAATGTGTAGTGGATTGGGTACAGAGAGAAGGAATGAATTGTGGACTCAGGCCTTTCCTCTTTTGTGTCACCTGACTTGTCTCCACTTCTCCTGCACCCTTAGATTTCTTCACACCTTCTGCCACCTTTAAACTTAAATGACCCTGAGTCATGAACTGGTGACTGGAAACTAGCCATTATTATTTGGCTGACTTTCCAAGATCTCCCCAGCCTTGTGAGGAGACTTTAATAGACAAAACTGGCTGAGTACTGTGTTGCATGCCAGAGACTATGATAGGAGGATTGCAAGTTCAAGGCTAGACTTGGCAACTTAGTGAGACTGTGTCGTCATCATCATCATCATCATAAATGAAATAATGATGAAGAACTACCTTTACTTTCTCAGGTAAGGTAGGCGTGGTTAGCCACTTTGGATTTTCAGAAGTTGGTGGGGGGGAAACCCAAATAATAAAAAATGAAAAGGGCTGTAGCTCTGGTAGAACACTTGCCTGCTATGTGTGGGGCTCTGAGTTCAATCCCATACACACACACACACACACACACACACACACACACAAGAAAGAGAAAGTACTGCATTTTTTCTCCTTGCCCCCAAAGGCCTCAGTGCCCTTTTAAGTTTAAAAATCATCTCTGAGTCAGCATTTCGTCCCTGCCTCTTGTTCTGCCTTCCTGTCCCAACTCACTGCTTCCTCTGATCCCACCATTCTGACACCTACATTGGCTCCCTTCACACTTTTAACCTTAAAGCTGATTGAGCACCATTCTAGGGATGTTCCAGTTTGACTGAATTACTTATGTTCAGTTTGCCTTGTGGTGATCTCAAGAGATTCACAGTGTTTTTAAAGGAAGACTGCAACCTAGGATTCAGTATTTCACAAATGTCAGAGAAAAAGGAAATTCATGAATCATTTTACTAGAGAACTGGGGTGCTCATAACCCACGTGAGCTTGTTGGGAATGCCATTTATATACCAGTACTATCTGTACTAATGCAGTGTAAGCTCTTGGCCAGTTGCCAGAGGAGCCTTCCTTTTGGAGAACCTATAGAGAGATCTTGTGTTTACTGTGATTGTAGGCTTTAGAAACAAGGCGCACCTTCCTGCCCAGTTAGAGACTGCTAACTCTAGTTCATTGCCTCTCAGTCATCTGTAAGATTTTATCAAAAGTACAGATTGCATTCAGGTGTGTTGGTGCATGCCTGTAATCCCATTGGCTCAGAAGGCTGAGGCAGGAGGATCCGTGAGCTCAAAGCTAACCTTAGCAACTTAGTGAGGCTAAGCAACTTAGTGAGACACTGTCAAAATAAAATATAAAAAGGTCCGGTGAAGAAGGCTGATTCCATCATAATGGAGAGCAGTTAGATTTCTGTTTCCACTTTGATTTATCAATGCATTATATAGTTTATGAAGGTGATTAAGAGGAGGATGGAACTAAAATTTTTATAGGACACCTGAAGGGCATCTGATGGGAGAATGGATCCTTTATTTTCCCTAAACCTAAATCAGCAAGGATTCTGAATCTCCTATAGTGGAGGATTCAAAGAGGAACTTGTGAAAGCAGCTTCTAACTTGTGTTAAAACACATGCAGGCCCAAAGGATCACCTGGAAGTGGCAAGGGTTGAAATGAAGGCACATGATTTGAGGCTCTCAGGGCTTTTTATGAGGAAGGCTCTATTCAAGGATGAGGATGGAATTTAAAAGAGAGAAGGGATCAGCAACTCTAGGAGTAGGCAGAGTCCACTGAGGAGGAGGGAAGTTTGGCCAATGGCATGAGAATAGAGAATGTACTTTAAAATGGAAGGGCCTCATCTAAAACCAATGACATATAAAAGAGAGAATGACAAGGTGATATCAGTGAGGATATGGAGAAATTGCAACCCACACATGTCACTGTGGGAATGTAAAGGATGGTACTGTGTAGAAAACAGTTCAGTTCTAAAGTATGTAAGTAGAGTTACATATGATGCAGCAGTTTCACTCCTAGTTATACGTGAAAGAATCTGAAAACACATATTCAAAAAACACATACTTGAGGCTGGGGCTCCACTTGCTGGCGTGTGTGAGGAACTGGGTTCGATTCTTAGCACTGCATATAGATAAATAAAATAAAGATCTATCTACAACTAGAAAAATATTTTTAAAAAACATACTCAAAAGCTTATAATGAATGTTCAGAACAGCATTCTATTTAAATTTTGTTTTTAGTTGCCAATGGACCTTTATTATTATTTATTTTCGGTGCTGAGGATCGAAACCAGGGTCTCACAAATGCTAGGCAAGCGCTCTTAACACTGAGCTACAACTCTGGCCCCCAGAACAGCATTCTTAACAACCTAAAAGTAAAAACAATTTAAGTGTATGTTGATTATCTATATTCAACATATAGTTGAACATAAATTATTATTTATGGAATATTATTTGAACATAAAAGAGAAGGAGGTAGTGAAACATGCTATAGCATGAATAAACCTTGAACGTGTTATACTAAGTAAAAGAAGCCAGACACAAAGGCCATATATTGTATAAATCCATGTATATGAAATGTTTCAAATAGACAAGTCCATAGAGACAAAAAGTAGATTATTGTTTGTCGGAGGAGAATAGAAAGTGACTGCTAATGGGTAGGCCTTGCTGAAAATGCCCTGGGATTGGATAGTAGAGACGTTCACACAATCTTGTGAATGTACTAAATTTCACTGAATTTGTACACTTTGAAAGGCAGTTGTTATGGTATGTAAACCATGTCTCAAACTGATCACACCTGAAAGGGTTCCAAAAGACTGGGAGATAAAGGAGTGAGTCCCAGTGCCAGGTAGGTGGCTCAAACAGATTAGGCAGAAGAAGAAGGACCAAGTTCTGATCAAATCCCCTCAGCTAGATGCCTGGTCAGGTAAACTTGGGAGCCATAGCAGAAGTAGCAACTTCTGACTGGCAGTTTTGGTGTTTTTTTGTTTGTTTTTTAAATTTTTTTTTAAAGAGAGAGAGAGAGAGAGAGAATTTTTTTTAATATTTATTTTTCAGCTTTCGGCGGACACAACATCTTTGTATGTGGTGCTGAGGATCGAACCTGGGCCGCACACATGCCAGGCGGGCGCGCTACCGCTTGAGCCACATCCCCAGCCCTGACTGGCAGTTTTTATATCCTGCACAAGGAAATTCTGCCAGAGCCAAAACTTCCCATCTTTATTTAAGTTCCAGTTGCCATTACCTTTTCTACCTACCCATCTCTGGACCTTACACTCAGCGGGCAACAGGATTTCTCTCTTAAGGGGAAATATCCCCACCCCTCACATATTTTTATTCTGAGACTGAACCCTCTACAAGGGCACAAGAAGATGTATTCATTAGCATTATGTTACTACAATGAAACACTTGAGACAATTAACTTTATAAAAAGAACAGGTGTATTTCAGAGTCCTAATGAAATAGTGTGGGCTTGGTGATGATTGCTTCTTGATTTCATTACCCATGGTGCAGATAACATTGGTGGGAGGTACTTAGTGGAGCAGGAAGCATATCTTGAGGCAGGAAGAAGAGAGGTGGCAGGGAAGTGGGACAGAGGACCTGCAGGTTTCCACAGTCTCTTTTGAAGGCATGTCTACAATGACCAAAGGACCTCCTATTAGGCTCCACCTTTGAAAGGTCCACAGCACCTCCCAGTGTCAACACCCTGAAGATCAAGCCTCTATAAAACCAATTTCTTATTGAAATAGTCCAACCTTATGTTTGTAGATCTTTCCAGCTTTGTCATTTCCTGCAGCCCTGTAAGGCTCCCACTTTCCTCATAGTGACCATTCCATGATCCTGCACTTTCATTACTCCAACCCTCTGGAGTTTACCGCTAAATAATTTAACCTATGAGAGAATTCAACCACGTGGCCCATTCTGCAAGCCCACACACCCACAAATATGTCTCCTGATTCATCTCCTCCCACTCCTTAAGCCTCCACCACCCAGGGAAAGTGAGGCTTAGTCAAGAAAGCGAAAAAGAGGCAAGACCTGGATATTTCTATCTTAATTTAAAAATTAACTTTTATGGCCATGCATCATGGTGTATGCCTATAATCAAAGAACTCAAGAGGCTGAGGCAGGAAGGTTGCAAGCTTAATGCCAGCCTGAATACAAATGGCTGGAGATGTAGCTCAGTGATAGAGCACCCCCTGGGTTCAATTCCTGGTCACACACACACATGCTTTTTTTTTGAAAATTTATAAACATACACAAAATAAGTGCAATAAACCCCATCTCCAATAACTTACAATATTTTGTCATATTCATTTTGTCTATCCCTTATTATTTAGTTTGTTCATTAGATACACTCAAAAGCAAATCAAAAAATTTTAAATCAAAATTTCTTTTCTGAATACTTCAGCATCCTTGATATTTTAAACAGGTAACTTTACATTCTAACTCCAGATGGGATACTGCTGTAATTTTTTGTTACTCTGTGGACACTTGTTAAATGCCCACCATACTATGAATTTTCCATGATTGTTTCACAACTGCTTGGCCATCTTCCAAAACTGTTTAGTGACCATCATTTTTAAAGCCTGGCATGACCCCATTCAGCTCTCATTTTATTTCTCTCTATTACCATTTTTTCCCTCTTTCCCTTGTTTGC